CCCTACAGTATGGTGAACAGATGGCATTTCTTCCCGAATTTCTGCTATGAGCAACCATATTGTTTTTGTATGGAAAATCAGTGTAGCATTACGGCTAAAATCATAGTTTGGGAGCTGGATTGCCTGGGTTTAAATCCTGGCTTGGTCACTTATTAGTTGTGTGACTTAGTGAAAACGAATTTACCTGTGACCTAGACACCTTACCTATAAAAAGGAAATAATAAGAGTACCTAATTCATAGATATGTTGGAAAGTTTAGATGAGCTCAGTGTGCGTGTGTGTGTGTTTACACATTTTTATATGTATATGTGTGATTCTATGTGTACACAGGTATGTGTATATATATGTATTTGAATGTAGAGGTATTTGTGTGCACCTTTGCATAAGCATATATGTATTTGTGTGTGTGTATCCATTTGTGTATAAAGAGACCACTTAAAATAACAGCACAGGTGTTTCATGGAAGTATGAGGTATGCTTAATCTTTACTGGAACTTGAGTTCTTTCAATAAATTTAGAATCTCTTCTTTCTTAAATCAAATATTTTTTTCCAATGTTATATTTCACTATTGTCTCTCATCCCTATTTTCTTGTGCATGTGACTTTTGTTCTCTTTCTGAATCTCTTATAAATAATATCACTGGCATCCACCTTTTTTATCTTTTCACATTTTCACTATGTATTTTGAAAGATCCCTTCAACTTTATTTTCTGGTCTACTAATCTGAGGCTCAAAGTGTCCCCTAAGTATCTATTTAAAGTTTTCAAATGGAAGACAGTATTTTGGTTCTGTAGCTGAATCAGCTTCAGTGTGCCGGCTTTTCCAGCTGCCATCTGCCTGCCCTCTGAGATGGCTGCTGGGTCTGCTTGGGGGTGACGCGAACACTCTGCTTACTCACTGCCCACCTGGTGGCATCACTTTAAGTAGCTACAGTTCCAGGGGACACTCAGAAGTCCTTGTGCTTGAGGATCCATGGCGTATCAGACAGAGAGTTATCAAGCCCCTGCCAAGATACCAGGAGGGGACATTTCTGGCCCTGGTGTTCCTAGTTGTCAGGTTCATACAGCAGGAAGCGTCCAGTATCTCGTGATGCCCAGACACCCTTGGTCCAACAGATCCTGCCTTTCCTCTCCAAGGTCAGTGAAACCCCAGGTACATCAAGTTGTAATCCTCATCCTGAACTCTTTGTCCAGGACCCCAGGTGCTCCTTGGATACAGAAGTGGAAATATTCCTTTGGCTTCACCAGTGTGATGTAAAACATCATTGGCAAGCATGAGTTATGACTTAGATCATCAGCTTTAAGTTGAAGGTAAGAAGAAATGAAAAGATAAAAAATCGCTTTTACTTCATTTTACCTGTTCCTCAATAACAGGCCTGACAAATGTCTAGTAGCAAATACTAATTTTTGTTTAAGTAAAATGAGGACAACTGTTCAGGGGGTTTCCCTTTGCCTTTGGAAAAATTCAAATCCTTGCATTTGCTTACAAGCCCCTAAATGATTTGCTCTCCATCCAGTTTTTAAATCTACCACTTCTCTCTTCATTCTCTACATGCCAGCTGTATGAGGTTTATCTCTGAGTACGGGCAGGCCGTGTCCTGGTCCTTGTCCAGGTAGTGGACACCTGTTGTATTTGCTCTCCCTCAGCACTTCCCCTGTTCTGCCCCACCTCAAACACGTGCCACCAGATTCAGACACGTGCTCTTGTCCCGACCAACTTTTCTTTAGTATTTTGTATCTCATATAAGTATTTCACATTCAGAGATGACTGAAAACTCAGAAAAGAAAGACCCTTCATTTTATGTTCCCATTATACATAGCATCTCATACTTCTCTTTTATGATGTTCATGAAAATTTTAAATTAACTGTTTTACTATATCCTTTCCAGATTGTTTCATAGAGGCACAGTCATATGTAACTCTAAAACTACTGTCGTCTGCAACATCCTCACAGTTGTACAGGAGAGCGGCTTAAATATTTGTGGGTAGAAAAAAAAATGATAAAAGGAAAGGAAAGACAGAGACAGACCTCATTTTTGTTCCCCAGGAAAATAAAGTTAATTTATTCAAATGTATGTAAAGTTTTCATCTTCACTATAAGTTAGCATATTGTTTGTTAAGCATGTGGATCCTTAGCCTGAATACGTTAAGTCTGAAAGTTAGCACTGCTGGATTAGCTACAAGCAAGTCTTCTTACTTTTGTAACATTTATTTTCTTTGTTGGGAAAGTAGAGATAATAATAATATTTACACCATGAGTTTCTGAGGACTGAGGAGTCAATGTGAAAATATAAGCATTTATCCTAGTATCTACTACCTACTAAACTCTGAAAAATAACAACTCTTAGATCACGTAATTACCTGAGGATCAAAAAGAAAATAAGGCCGTCCATTCTTCAACTGAAGTGCAAAATACTCTTCCTGGTTGTCAGGTGATGCTGCAAAGACAATCAAACCTTCAGGCACCCTTGTCCGGAAGCTGGCCTTAATGCCTGGTGAGACAAGTGTGATCAGCAAATCAGTGCTAGGGTTTTGTTGATTCTTTCTGATAAATGTACATTTACTTTCATTATTATTTATGATGTAGTGAGTACAGTCGGAAAATTGTACACAGCAATGTACTGCAATGGTTCAGGCCATTCGGTTTTAAATATATCCCATTTTAAATGCCAACTGGTTCTTGGAACTTCAGCCTGCACTCCTGCTAATCAATATATAATGAAGTTTAAATTTATGCAAAACTCATCAACCTAAAAAGACATGTTGTCATCCCAAAATTGGATACTCAGAGTTTCAATATGAAAATATTATCAGAGTCATAAAAATAAACAGATTCTTGAAATAAGTGCAGGAAACTCAGAAGACCTTGTTTAAAATATTTAAGAAGTTTAAAGAATCAGTTCAGTAATAGACACTTAAGTTAGAAAGATCTGACAAAAAGTGGCCCAGAGAACTAATTCCTGAAAGACTATCAAATAACCAGATGACCTGCATGCAGCCTTTGGGATTTCAGGGTTTCCACTGACCCTTAGACCACAAATCGGCACTGCACTAGACACTCCAAGTCTTGTCTCCTAAACATGTTCAGCTCAGAAACCAGAAGCAACTGTCTTTTTCTTTTCTTTCTTTATTTTTTGAGACATGTTTGCCATGGGGCACATGTGCTTGCCAGAGAGACAGAGAGAGTCAGAGAAACAGAAAATGAGAAATCACCCCTGGAGGGATGGCCATGCCTCAATCCCTTCTCTTCTATTCTCCTCTCAGGATTTTGGGTGTATGTGTACATGTGCCTAGAGTGAGTTGCAAGTCACTGGATCCTGTATTCAAACCATGGTTGGCCATGTGGGAGTCCAGCCCCTCAATGGCCATGCCACTTGCTGGTCCTGAGGCAATATTTAACCATGCTATAAATGCCTTCCCACTACCACCTCAATGCTCCACAACCATCTTACCTGGTATCCCATTTATCCCACTCATACTATGGCACTCTGGATGTGTGTAAGGTAGTAATGTATTAAAACTGGCAGAAATGCTTGGGAGACACAATCTCTGTTCTCAAAGTAGTTCCAGTTTAGTTGGAAATATAAAATGTTCATGTTTTAGAAGACAAATCAGAGTGTGAGCCAAACAAAAACTCAAGAATATATATGAAAACCCACTAATGGCCTAAGAACACAATACTGAATAATGAATAAATACTGATTTAAGAAGAAATAAAGTCAGCTAGGAATATGAAAAATTGAAGGAGATAATACTCCCTTCAGGCTAGACTGGTAGCCAAAGGTCCTGTAAAGGTGACAAAACTGAACTTGAGTTCCACAGACTACAACTACTTCAGGAACCATGTCTAATTCATTAGTACCTAACATGGTATCAAGGTGTACATAGCAAATGCTTTGAGACAGAGAGAGTCAGAGAAACAGAAAATGAGAAATCACCCCTGGAGGGATGGCCATGCCTCAATCCCTTCTCTTCTATTCTCCTCTCAGGATTTTGGGTGTATGTGTACATGTGCCTAGAGTGAGTTGCAAGTCACTGGATCCTGTATTCAAACCATGGTTGGCCATGTGGGAGTCCAGCCCCTCAATGGCCATGCCACTTGCTGGTCCTGAGGCAATATTTAACCATGCTATAAATGCCTTCCCACTACCACCTCAATGCTCCACAACCATCTTACCTGGTATCCCATTTATCCCACTCATACTATGGCACTCTGGATGTGTGTAAGGTAGTAATGTATTAAAACTGGCAGAAATGCTTGGGAGACACAATCTCTGTTCTCAAAGTAGTTCCAGTTTAGTTGGAAATATAAAATGTTCATGTTTTAGAAGACAAATCAGAGTGTGAGCCAAACAAAAACTCAAGAATATATATGAAAACCCACTAATGGCCTAAGAACACAATACTGAATAATGAATAAATACTGATTTAAGAAGAAATAAAGTCAGCTAGGAATATGAAAAATTGAAGGAGATAATACTCCCTTCAGGCTAGACTGGTAGCCAAAGGTCCTGTAAAGGTGACAAAACTGAACTTGAGTTCCACAGACTACAACTACTTCAGGAACCATGTCTAATTCATTAGTACCTAACATGGTATCAAGGTGTACATAGCAAATGCTTTGAGAGTTTGGGTGAGGAAAAAGGAGATGAGTGGCAAGTGAGAATTCGTAGCAAAAGTTTGGAAGCAGGAAAGCAAAAGTCCTTTTGTAAGCAATGGGTTGTCAGTTTTTTCAATATGCATTTATGGAATGTTAACATTTTAGTGTATAGTGCTACAGAAAAACTAACAAGTAAGTGTCTCACACCAAGTTCTAGTTGACAAAGAAAAAGGCAATAAAAAAAAAAAAAGAAAGAAAGAAACCTGTTTGGCTTACCCTATAGCCTAGTGGTTAAGGGAGCCAGATCCTAAAACCTAACCCTAGTACCTTGAAAATCATGCCAAGTGTATGTGTGCCTGCATGCCCCAAATCCTGACAGGATGAAGAAATGTAGACGGGATTGTGGCAGTGTGGGGCCATAGCCTACTGGAAGATGATCTCTCTCTTTCTCCCTTTTCTCTTTGAGCATATATAACATTTGGCAACTTTAAAAAAAAAAAAAAGGGTAAAAAAAGTATAATGAGATTTGATAAGATAAGTGATATACAGTTTTGTTGTTTGTTTTTTAAGGAGTTTTTTTTTCTTAGGGTGCCTGAGCTCACTGGAGAGAGAAACAGAAACAGAAAGGGAGAAATCACTCTCCAGGTGGGGATGGCCATGCTCCAATCCCTTCTGTTCCATTCTCCTCTTGGGATTTTGGACACACATGCACATGCACTGGGCATGAGTTTGAAGACACTGGGTCTGGGACTTAACCCATTGTCAGCCATGTGAGAGTCCAGCAACATAACCATGATGTCATCTGCTAGTTCCAACATAGAGATACTAACAAGATATAACTTAGTTCAAAGGGATTAAGAAAGGTTTCACAGAGCATACTATGCTTGAGCTTCTCTTTAGAGAACATGAAAGATTTGGGAGAAAGTTATACAAAGGCCTAGATGTATGGAAAATATTGGGGATAGGTGAATGAAGGAGGGGGGAGTTAGATGAATCTGGAGAAACAGCCAAGGTTATTTCTCAGACCTATGCTCTGAGCCTGTATGCGTTATACAATCTGGCTTGAGAAGTTTGTGTAGAACAGAAAGAAAATTGTGTTTGAAGCATCTTCTCAGTGCTATTTCTTTTATGGCAGCAAAGGCAAGCATTGGATGTGGGCCTTGTGTTTTCCAAAGAGGCAACTCAAATTTGTCCTGGCTTCCTTAGCTTCTGTATTCCCATCTTCTAAGTGTTATGGTGCATTTTGGACACACATGCACATGCACTGGGCATGAGTTTGAAGACACTGGGTCTGGGACTTAACCCATTGTCAGCCATGTGAGAGTCCAGCAACATAACCATGATGTCATCTGCTAGTTCCAACATAGAGATACTAACAAGATATAACTTAGTTCAAAGGGATTAAGAAAGGTTTCACAGAGCATACTATGCTTGAGCTTCTCTTTAGAGAACATGAAAGATTTGGGAGAAAGTTATACAAAGGCCTAGATGTATGGAAAATATTGGGGATAGGTGAATGAAGGAGGGGGGAGTTAGATGAATCTGGAGAAACAGCCAAGGTTATTTCTCAGACCTATGCTCTGAGCCTGTATGCGTTATACAATCTGGCTTGAGAAGTTTGTGTAGAACAGAAAGAAAATTGTGTTTGAAGCATCTTCTCAGTGCTATTTCTTTTATGGCAGCAAAGGCAAGCATTGGATGTGGGCCTTGTGTTTTCCAAAGAGGCAACTCAAATTTGTCCTGGCTTCCTTAGCTTCTGTATTCCCATCTTCTAAGTGTTATGGTGCTTTCAACAAACTAGTCTTCATTGCTTACATGTCTCATTGTCTTACACTCTCTGATTCTCCTACTCCCACCTGTCTAGATGTTACGTTCTTGCTGTTAGATCCAGTGCTTGGTCCTTTCTGGTGCTTCTTTCATCCCATGTGATAGGATTGTTTTCCACCTCGCCTCAAAAAATCACTTTTCAACAGTTAAACTCACTTGGACCCTGTTATAGGTTTATTGCTCTCATCTCCCTAAGTAGATTGAGAATGTTGAGCCACCAGTTTGGAATTTATCCTACAGGTAAAAAGAAGACATTAAAATTTGGATGGGGGAACAGGAACAGGATACTTAAGGAAGGGCTCAAGGAAACCAGACCAATGGTGGAATGTATGGAGGGTACAGGTAATTTGGGTACCGAGGAACAAGTTAGGAGATCACTGCACCTTTGGTGAAGAAGATGATAAGCAGTTTAATTAAGGATAGAAAAGTAACTAAACAGACTGAAAGGACAGACCCCACAGTTCAGAAGAGGCAAGCTGCAGTATGTGAGTATGAAGTGTCAGTGTAGAGCAAACTTTTCACAATAACTGAGGGAGTGGCGGCATGATTAACAGAAATAGACATGTCAGGTAAGAAAAGAAGTTTGGATTTGGGGAATATATATTTATGTTTAGGCATTTATACCAATGATATAGGAGACTTATTTGGAAATGTGAAACTAAATCTTAGAAGAGAAAGTGGGGCTAGAAAAAAATTTTGTTTTTTCATTTTTCATGTCTCAAAGACCTAATGCATTGAAGGAAAAAGAACTTTTTGGAGAAAATGCCTATACTTAAGAAAAGAAAAAATAAGGGCAGAAGTAAAGTTAAAACATAAAGATAAAACTGAAAAAAAAATATGGAAACCTAGAGCACTTTAAGAACACAAGGTTAGTCAGGTAAGCACTTCCTATAGGTCCAGAAAAATTAGAACAAGAAAAGCTTATGGAGCTCTTATGTAACAATGGAATGTGTTTTCATTGCATAGAATGGCCAGCACACGAACTTCTGGGTGACAAGAACTTAGGGAGAGGATGACTGGGAAGTGGGGAGGTGTAGAGCATTCCTAGAAATGTCTGCTAAAGCA